AATCTTTTAATCTCTTTTAATACCTACCAGCACATGGTACTATTAAAGCATAACAAACTCATAAGTAATTTATAGGTATTAATTATTATAGTAAAAAATATTAAGGTTTAGTCATTGGTCCCATAAGGAAAATGAAACTCCTCATATTACATATCAGCTTAAAATCTGAAAGGATGGCTGACATGAGATGCGAAAATAGCTGTTTTTATAATTTATACTATTAAATGAGAAGACCTCATTTTTTGTGTCGCCTCTCTTCCTTCCACAATAAATTAATCATCATGCCTCTGTGTCCTATAGGTACCATGTATAGTCGCATTTGTCATCCTCGCTTATGATTATTCCGATTGGCTTATTTTGGGAGAAAAACGAAAATAAAGGCGTCCGGATATTGTTTCCGTCATCGGACAGACTTTTAAGTCATAGACTGGTAAGTCTTCTGTTAGGACTGTTTAAAATTACACAGAAATTTGGTAACTATAATTCTGTGTAATTTTAAACCGTCCTAAACGGAAGTCTCGCAATATCCCAAGAGGTGGAATTATAAGGATTAAACTTCTGGTTTTTTTTTTAATTGGACTGTCCGCTCACAAACTGAATAAAAGAAAATGTTTAATCCTATATATAATATATGACCTTTTTTTATACATCCATTACGCATAAAAAATATGTGTTTTCAGTTACCGCACCAACTCTCCATTGGACCAACCGACTTAATTTTTATTGCCAAAATTCCGTCCTCGTGAACATTTCACATAAACTTACCCGTTTGAATATCTAATGTATTGTTCTGTCATATAAAAAAAGAAGATGTGGTATGATTGCCAATGAGACAACTCTTCACACGAGACCAAATGACACAGAAATTAACCACTATAGGTCACCGTACAATGAGCAAAACTCATACCGCATAGTCAGCTATAAAACGCCCCGAAATGACAAATGTAAAACAATTCAAACGAGAAAACTAACGGCCTTATTACAGAAATTAACCACTACAGGTCACCGTACGGCCTTCAACAATGAGCAAAGCCCATACCGCATAGTCAGCTATAAAAGGCCCCGAAATGACAAATGTAAAACAATTCAAACCAGAAAACTAACGGCCAAATAATATACAAAAAAATGAACGAAAAACAAATATGAAACACAGCAACAAACGACAACCACTGAATTACAGGCTCCAGACTAGGAACAGGCACATACCTACAGAACGTGGCAATGTCTGTTGCCAAAATTCAAGATACATCTAACCAAAATCATGTTTATTGTTATGATTGTAGTTTACTTCCTTAAAAATATACAAACTTTGGACAACTAACTTACGATTGTGATTAAATCAGGAATTTTATCTAGAGACGGACAAAACAGTATGTTTCCCAGCAAATGCCCAGAAATTCTCCAGTCATAAAATCTTTTACAAAAATTAATCCTACAACAGTTTACATACTTTCAACCACGCTCTAAATTCCCGCGATTTCGCGGATGTGTTCTAGTATTTTTTAATGGTCGTATTAAGGTTAAAAGGGAGTCAACTATAACCAAACTGTATTTAAACTGGAACTTCAAAGTGACAGCTATATGCAAAGACATCGCATAAATATGTTAACTTGGACTTGTAGCGGAAGATAAAAACTACTTTTCTGTTTTTATTTTTTTCAAACTTACATATTTTGTTCATATACAGCTCATTCATGTTTATTTAGACACGTTTTCGGCTTTGTAGTCTTGTTTTGTTAGAAATATGATCAAAGAAGAAAGACCTCAAGTAGCATGAAAAATTTATAAGAACCAAATATGATATAAAAATGATTTGAAATGTATACTTGTCACAATTGATCTTCGTTTCAGTTAAATAGTACCTCTTGACATGATGAGAAGTGATTTGTATAGAAGTCATATTCAGACTTTTGGGGAAATTACTTCCTATAAAGGTTCAAATACATATCAATTATTTAGCTTCGATTTAGGAGATAACAATTATCTTTTATGGCTACTTTCTGGCAACGCATAACATAAGAATCGGATAAATGCGGATCCGTATATTTTAACCCAAAAGTAACACAAGGACCATACGAGCTACAGTTTGGTATCTAATTAATGAACATCAGTTAACTACTGTCGCCTTAATATAATGAATGGTTATGTGTATACGTTCATCTTTTAAAACAAAATATAGCCGACTCAACATTTTTTTTATATATATTGTAACCTTTTAAATATACGGTCATCTTAAAATTGTCACTTTTAATTGGAATAAACAAAAAAAAATCTTTTTTTCTTTACCTCATTCATTAATAGTTAGTTGCCGGAAATTCTTCTGTTAGTGATTATGATTTGTGGAAACATTCCAATCTCATTTATTGCATGCAGATAATAGGATTTACGATTTATTGGTACGATTCTATTATATATAATATCTACTTTTATGGTATCAATATCATTGTTACAACCATTTACAACAAAAAATACAGTAACTGCATTTTACTTGATAACTTCCATGATATCGATCATTCTGAAATTCTAGAAACACTGATATGTTGAATCATTGAAAAAACCGACATCACTTATCAAATTAAATGAACACTTTAATATACTCTACATTTTCTATGGACGTCGAAAATCTGCATGGCATCACTACCGCGATTAATGCTGTCATAGTTTTCTGCATGGGTTTGTCCTTATGCAGAAACCATAATTTTGAAGTAAAATATAGTTACGACCTAGAGATATGTCTTGTATTGAACTTTTTTTTCTCTTGAAGTAATTTGTTCCTTAATTGTTTTTCAATATGATTAAAAATATATTGTGGATAAATTTGGATTTTTATATTGCTCATTAGCTTGTAGTAGTGGTGCATGATGCCATGTTTTAAAGTATTAAGTTATATTAATTTTTTTTTATCAAATGTTTGGTTCCCATGATGGAAAAGGCTATTGTCGTTACTTAGGGTTTTTTCACAAATCTTTCTCTCTGAAACCACTGTGGTCGACCAACATGGATGCAGTTATTACATATAGAACACGCACTATAAAGAATTATTCAGACGAATGATTTTCTGCAAATAATGAACGGTCTTTAAGGTGCACATTTTACATGTTTGCATAACCAGGAGTTACGGATAACATTCGAGTTTCGTTCCATGTCACCTCATTACGTTCCATATGATAAGAATGTTTCATAAACGTTGACATGTTTCGGCTGTGCTGTCATTACTCCTTATAGATATTGAGGAGATATCTAGTGTATAATTGTGTTATGCGTAGCTAATTACCAATCAGACATGAGTTTTCACTTTGGACTTAATTAAAACAAGCTTATCAAGATTTGAGGAAAATGATAACTTTTCGTCCATTTTCTACCTCATTTGCGGAAATTATACTGGTATCTGGTATTTGATAATGTTAAAGTGTTGTTCTAAAAAAAAGTTGTTTTGACTGCCCATTGGAAGATATTGTGAATATGACTGCTGTCTTCCGTTTTAAGCTTTCCAAACAAATAATTGACAGTTGGCATGTAATCATGTAATCCTGTCTGAAGTTCTTCAGCGAGTACTCCTATATCGGTGCTTTTATGTCAGTTTTTTTATGTTTAACTTAGTTGTTTTTTGTGTTTCGTACCGATTTATTGCACGAACACCAAAAGCAATTCTTGATCCGAATTTTCAATCTTCTCGGAAACTATAATGTTATTTCCTTTTTTGGTTCTTTTGTTGAGATACAATAAGTATTAATCATTTGATTTGACGGCTGAATTGTAGCCGAAAATCTGTGTGAGAAAATAATATGTTTATCTATTAACAGAAAGATAAATTGTACTTCTTATACTTCTTATACCAAAACCTAGAGTGCGGGAGGTCGTGGGTCGGACCCGACAGTGTCAATACAAAGGCTTTAAAACTGGTATTTGCTGCTTCTCCATTAAGCACACCACATTAAGGAGTAAAAGCAAAGAATGGTCGGCTCGGATTCAGAATAATGTGTACGAGTAGGGTGACATGTCTTCCTGTTGACTGTTATACCTTGTGAAATAGCACGTTAAAAATCAGACTCAGCATGTCGGTCTAGCACATACTAGGGTTCATATTATATCGCATTAACATATTCTCGTCCTGAATATGCATGTAATATGCCATACATCCATCCATTTAATACCAAAAATATTCTTTTAATATTGTTGAGATATTGACATTTTCAGGTTATTTTATTTTTTTAATCGATACATTCTGTTTTTAAAGTGTTTACGAACATCCTGTCTATGCAATTTGATAAAAAGGAGGAAACTTGTCTATCAAAATTAATTCTATTCAATTAATATTGTTCAATGTTGACAAATCGCCATGCTATTCTATCATTATGTACTTACGATTGAAATCGACAAGGAAGTACTAAGGCATTTCGATTTTTTAATTGACATAGCCGCTGAGACGGTTGTTTGCATTGCATTAGTAACAAATTAGAATAAGGTAATTAACCGAGTTCGCCATTCTACAATAGAAATAATATTGCGAGATGATTTATGGTCTCACAAGGCACAAGTCAAATTGAATGTTAAGTTATGACACGTTCGGTTTCCTTGTCTTTTACGAACGGAGCTTTGAGTGTGACTTTCTTGGCTTCAAGTCAGTTAGATATCGATGTTCAATTATCATTTGTTGATGAAAATGACGTTCTGTTTACATTTTATACAAGTTAATGTTAAACACAAGATAGTTTTTACCATCATTACGATAGCTTTACATTTGAAAGTGCAACTGTGGTCGCGATTGAAAATCTAATTGCGGCTATTAATTTACTGATGATGAACACATTGAGTTGTAGTTATTCCAATTCAATATTGTTGTTTCATTTCTGTTGAAAATTATCCCAGATTATTGAACCATTGATCAGCTCTCTATCAGTTATTCGCTATTGTTAAGCTGGATTAATAAGTTATAGAACAGAATAGAATAGAACAATTTACTGATATGAAATAATATAAATACATGAATCTCATTTCAGATAACAGAACACAACACACGGCAGTTTTAAAGTCCTTGAAATAGCAAAAATAGAAACAGCAATGTGATTCTTTTAGACAGTGACAATATTTCAACGTGGGAAGACGCTAAATGTTGATAAAATAAATGAATCTTCCGGAGTGAAGAAGCTTCGACAACAAACCGACATTATTCGACATGGTATTTATTACAATAAAGGATCTGTTAACTAAACTTTTTAAAAAACTATTTCACACAGTAAAAATGTGATAAACTAACTGTGCCTGTATTGACAATGAGCTGATATTCCATGATTTAGACACAATGAACAGGACAAATTATGACAAATTATCTGAGTGGAATAATGAACTTTTGCAACATTATATAATAAATGATGTCATTCTTGGAATTTATCTTATACTCGGAACATCTGGAAACGCCATTGTCGTACTTGTTTATGCTTTTCGAATGAATAAGAAAAAGGATGACAGATATTTCATCCCCTTTTTGGCAGTTGTTGACCTATTAGCATGTGTGTGTAGATCGTCGTTGGAGTTGGCCATGAACTTTAACCCCGTACGGTTTCAAGGAAGCGTATTATGTAAAGCTGTGTGGTTTCCTACAAACGTAACTGCCATAGCTTCGATTTTCCTTCTGTTAGTGATAGCGATTCAAAGGTACTTGAAAGTATGTCGTCCATTTGGGCTACAAATGACGCTTACTTGTAAAAGATTTTCGTTAATTGTGTGTATAATCGTTGCTGTCTCCGTCTCCGCACCATTAATAGTCTTTAATGATGAAATTGAAGTTATAAATCCAGAAACTAACGTCACTGGATATGTATGTGATACGGATGTTAAATCTCACTATGGTCAAGGATTTTTGGCATACATAATTTTCGCATCTGCATGCTCTTTGGTTTTGATGGTGGCTTTAACTATTCTAAATATCTGCATCGGACGGACAATCTTTAAACAATTTAGAGCTAAGCACCGTAGAAAAAGTAATAATGTTATTAGTAGACATAAAGTTAGTGTATGTGCTCAATCTGATTTATTGAACGTGGACCAAGACGTGAGTATATCAGACACAGAAACAAGTTTTCAACCACAAAAGAATTCCTCACTAGGTGCTCAAAATAACAGTCAAACACAAATTAATTCCAGTAGCGAAAGCGAAACCCAGAACAGATCTACCATGTCATTTTCACACCGTTACTCAATTATGTTCATGGCCATTGGCGTTGCTTTCATTATTTCGTACTCTCCCCGTTTGATCTTGTTGTTTATTACATTGCATGACCCGAAATTCTTTGGAAAAATATCACAAACCAATCTGACAATCTTGTCCGTTATCCGGGAAATGAATGTTGTGAACAATGTGGTAAATCCTTTTATATATGGATTCTTCGATCATACATTCCGTAAAGAAACAAGAAAGATATGCTTCAGGGTGAATTAGGTTAATATTGTTTTTATCTATTATATAATTGACAATCAAATATGATCACGTATACAGTGAATTAGAAACTGGTGCAATATTTTACATGTAACTATGAAATATTTTATGTACACACCGTTGATAAATGATATATGTTATACATTTTGTTGTTTGGTAAGATTAAAATTTTATACTATCACATTCTGACATCATTCAGCAGCAGTATAGTATCATTGTAAAAGAGAAATGAAAGATACCAAAGGGATATACAAACTCATAAGTGTAAAACAAAATGACAATGCCTATGGCAAAAAACCTAAAAAAACGACTAGAAGACAAACAGCAGTATACAATACACAACAAACCCCATGTGCTCCGAAGGGTAAGCAGAGTCTGTATTACATTTGGCAAACATGTAAATATATAGATAATAGTATTTAAAAAAAATATATCACTCTTTGGGCATTTCAAACTATATTGTAAAACTATATGCTATACAATAAGTAAACTATATGAAATGTATAGTTATATCAAGAATTTGTATACAAATCCTTGGTTATATATGAACATATTCCTGAAAGTTTGCAAACCAAACCCTTTTTTGTTAGTTTGCAAAGATATCAAATTTTTAAGACCAGTTTCATCAAGTTAAAAGAATGCCTCGATTCTAGAAGCCCAGAAAAGGGTCACTTTAACTTTTGAATCAAATGGAAAAACGCTTACAATTACCGGCATTTATGGTTCGTAATATTATTTAACTTTATTAAGTGCAGGCTGGAAACATAGAATTTCTAATGTTAATTCAATAGGCCTGTTAACTTTGATCAAAACACGTGATAAATGGGAAATAAATAAAGTCGATATTGCATTAAAAACAAATTCATTTGATTAAGAAGCTCATTTTTACAAAACAACGTTCTACTTTAATATAAAAATACTATACATCTGGCAAAACGTGCAGTAGAAAATTATGTTTATTTAGTATGCTTTGTTTTTGTAAATAAAAAAAATTAAGTCCTTAACGATAATAAACAAAACATGTTCAGAAACTAGTATGATGGCCATGTGCTTCAATTTCTCCAGAAAAGAAGAAAAAACTCTAGCTATCTCCGTGTCACCGGGTAACATTGCTACCTTTGATTCCAATGTTTGGTTCTTTGTAGCCATGTGTGTGTCGAAATTCAGACAGGCGCATGGATTTTATCGAATATTCCCTTTTGTACTGACGTCAAGTAACAAACAGCTATAACTAAAACACATGTTATATACGTCTCTTTTTCTCGAAATAAGGCTTTTCATTGTGATTTTCAAACACATGTAGAAAAAAAAGCCGATGAATGAATACCTGATGGTTATAAATCTGTTAAATCTAAACAGATACAGGGCAACGGTTCAGTATAGATAATTACATCTGTATTTACTGAAATGCTTCTGTTAAAATCTATAACAGCTTATGAGCATGCTTGCATATTATCATAATTCTATTACTGGATTCATGAATAACAAAGATTATTGAGCCGGAGTTTTATTGATTTGTAAATTGGGCCGAATCACTGTTAAACTAAATAATTTATCCAATTTGTTACGAGTCAGGCTAGTTTACCCATCAATTATTTTCAAATTCAATTCTGTCGACGTATGTATCAGAAAAAATAGTTCAGAATCAATTCCAACTGAAAACCTGCAATATTTCTATATACATGGTAAATAATATTTCAAGCTCTTTTAACAAAAAACTCCAATAGTTGACCAGCGTATAGAAATATGGCCACCTAGTCTGAAAGTTCTCCCTTCCGGCATTAAAACTGACACTAAAGAGGGATCTCTATCACGTTTGCTGTGCGGGGTGTAAAAATGCACTGCCACGTTCATTCAGAACGGAATCGTTAAATACAATACCTCGTTTAGGGAGACTGCCACGCTCTCTGCACGTTTAAGAACCCCTTTAATAAATTGCTGAGGGATGTGTAGGTGGCCTGCTGCACGGCAACATTTCTGCCCAAATCCAACATACTCTTATGCCCAGTTGAATCCCAAATTCCTCGCTCTTCATCCCGATTGACCAACTTTACAAAACCTACCGTATTTATTGTTAATTTGTTCTCATTTGAATATGCATGGCATATTTGCCAGTGGACGTTAAGCAAACTAAATAATGAATCAATTCAAAATATTATCACGATACTTTGCATAATGTGCTATTATGTTTCCATGCAAAAAAATAACATCTTATTTTTCCATTTGTAAAATGCCTTTATAGGATTATTTTGATACATCAAAATTTAGCAAGCGCAATTTCAAGAGAGGAAAGGTAACTACATGTTAAGTACATCTCTTTTGTTAGCTTTAAAAACTTTTAAGTACGTCTTTAGAAAAAGTACCTGCTTATATTGGGAAAAAAATATCATTAATTTATTGTCGTCACCTTCGTTTCTATAGACAAGAAATTTGGTTATGGCATCATTAAAATTTTTCACTAATTGTTCCAAAGCTCAAAGCTTATGCTCTGTTCATAATCACATCAGAGTCAGGAATTGTAACGAAACATATACCATGATCTATAATATCTTTGTCCAGAAGAGATGACAGACTTACTTTCAATTTTGCCTCAATCAAAGAGTAATAATTTATCTTAGACAAAGATAATTGCATTGTTATTATTCAACTCACTTTCAGACGGTTCCCAATATGACAAAAAGTTAATATAATGCTGACTATGCATACTGCTGTTAACAACTCGTTCGACGGAGTATTTTCGATTGTAAGGAAATCAGTCAGATGTAAGTTGTTTACATCTGGCGTTTTGTAATTGGTATTCTTATTTTAAGCTCAATTTTTCAATATTAATAGTTATACTAATTGAAAAGAAGCAATGTAGAAAGACATTCATTCATGAAACAAAATAACCATAATATAAAACTAAAATAAAAATTGTAACGAAAGAACCCATGCTCAACCAATTCAGGTCCGAGTTAGTTTGGCTAAAAATATGGATAAAAGGAGATTTGAGACAAACAACAGCAATCCTATATCAACTAAAAGCAAAATATATCAAGAGATCATCATACGGTATTCAACAAAAGACAGGTGTCTGAAAAATAAATATAAAGCACTAAATTACTCCGAAAAAAGTGTGAATAAATTTAACAAGCACTATCAAAAGTGTGCCATAAATACCAAACTCGAACATTGCCAAAACACATTAAGATATAACAAAGGACAACCAGTGGCTGAGTAAATGGAATAACAAAATATACATTAGAAAACGTGCAATAAAAATCAGTACATCATAACACTTAACTCTTTAATAACTGTGTAATAGATAAAAAAAAAAAAAAAAGAAAGTAAAAGCAAAATAATGATAATCGATATCGTATTAAAGAATATTCACAGTCGTTGAAAGCAACTTCAGTGAACGTAACTTCTGATTTGAAATCTTGCCGTCCTTTACCCTATTTCATAAAATTAAACAGTGAATGGCCGTACATAGGCGATGTTACAAATCTTGTCAATATTTTACAACCCATGCATGTTGAGCTTTTACTGAAAATTCCATTAAAAACATATATATAAATAATTGTCAACCTGTTTCGTAAAATTAAATAAAAATCTTGCATATCTCTTATGTCATAATTTGCAAACGTTAAAAAATGAACATTTTGCACTGGAATTTCAAAAGATCTACTAGTAATTCGTTTATAGCAATCCATATGAAATAATACGCGACAATTAGTATGAATGTTTCTAATGTCGCATGTGGAACAGGATCTGCTTACCCTTCCGGAGCACCTGAGATCATCCCCAGTTTTTGGTTGAGTTCGTGTTGTTCAGTCTTTATTTTTCTATGTCTTGTTTTGTGTATTGTTGGTTGTCTTTTCTTTTAGCCATGGCATTGTCAGTTTATTTTCGACTTATGAGATTGAATGTACCTTTGGTATCTTTCGCTTCTCTTTTCTTGTTTATAACTAAAATGTATTCTTTAAAGATTTAAATATACAGAGGGAACCGCTACGATGTTACGGTGTCATGAAATAGAAGTTCCTTCATAACATTAGTTCCGAATGGAAAAAAATATTCTAGAATATTATTTCCACCAGAACAAATATTACAGTATTTTTTCCGAACAGAATAAAGAATGTTGAATATTTTTTTCAACAGGAAAAAATATTATGGCATTGTTTATAACAAAGTTTCCAGGGTAATTTCTTTTAGGCGGAATAAACATACGTTGGCAACGGGATATCTAGTATATCTAACAAGAACAAATCGACAATACTAATCAATGTAAAAGAATGATAAAACATTATCTTTCTATACAAGTTAGCCACAATTGATTATAACTGGTAAATAGACAGAGATTGAGATGGATTTTTCAAAATCTAAAGTTAAAACATATCTACAAAACGTATGGTTAAGGGACAACTTTATAAAACGAATGTTAGCTGTACCTTACGCGTAAAAGTTGATTCTTAAACTAGGTATTGCCATATTAACGGTTTCAGTGTTAAACTGAACTTCGGTAATTTCTAGGGTTCAAGTATGCTTCAAATGTCGATAAAATCTGACACCAAAAAAACAAACGTTTAATGTAGGCGTTTTATTCATTTCGTTGATAATTTAAGAAATTATAAAAAATCTTATAATTAAACTCCCTAAGCCAAATTTGACCTTTAAGATGGATATACTTTTTATGCACCTTTTGGTCACACAGCTCTTCTCGTGTTTATGTATTTATACACAATTGGCTTTTTAATTTTGGGGTTTGAGGTTGGGTCACATAAATCTTCATGTGTTTATGTATATATACATGCATTATTGGCTTCCAAAATTTGGATAAAACGTTCCTGATGAAGTTAAATCCAGGATTTGAAGAATACATATTGGACAGGACTCTCTGCGAGTCAATTCGATTCATTCTAAGTCAACCAATCAAACACTGTAAAATAACATGAACAGCAAATGACTCCAAAAAAATAGGTGATAGAACAAAATTTTGCATATTCAAATTAAGCTGAAATTTCAATAATGAGCATATTTATAGAATGGTCAATGCTTCGATATGAATTTAATGACTCTATAGTTAAACGAGATTAACGCAACAGTATGCAAATTAGAAAAAAATATGATTTGATTTC